GGACGTTGTGTATAGGATCCCATGTAAAAGCTGCAATGTATCCTACATTGGAGAGACAGGCCGTTTCCTTGGGACCAGACTCCTAGAACACAAATCTTCTTGGAAGTATGCAAAGGAAAGGTTTGCCATGGTGGAGCATGGTCTCTGATCGGGACAATTAGCCAGATTGGGAAAATACTTCCACTATTTACAGGGGCATCCAGAACTCGCACCAGAGGAAGTTCCTGGAGGCCATAGCATCAATGAAGGACCCTGCTAGTGTAAATAGATACGAAGAAATCCCCGAACCTTATTTGTCTCTTTTAACTTTTTTTTTTCTAATAATCGCAGTCAACTTAATTTGTTTCTTATTTTTATTTCCTTAAATTTTGTTTCGAAAACATTAAAAATACTGCATTACTAAAAAGCCTTTAATTTTCAAAATATTTTATTATATTATTATTATTATTAATTTTTTTTTATCATTATCAATAATTATTTTTGACCAATGACAAATTTGTTTCCATATGATGTACAATAAATTGTAAATTAAATTAACTGTGCAATAAATTGATAAAGAGGGAGAAATCTCTCGAAATATTTTAAGAAAAAAATTGTTTTTTTTTTTCTTTACAGATCCAGGTACGCCCTTTTATATAATCTTAATTGATGGATCGCCTTTTGACTTAAAATATTTTTGTTTCCAAAATTGATTTTTTTTATTATGTTATAGGTTTAAAATATATATATATATCTATATGAAAAAATAGTACAAATGTAACATTGTACTGGGATAAGGTGCATAAATTAAGAAAAAGGCATCTCCTTATCGTGCAACTGAAAGTTGCTGATGGCTGGCGCCATCTATCGGAATAAATATCAAAAATCAACGAGAATAGTTGATATTTATTCCGATAGATGGCGCCAGCCATCAGCACCTTTCAGTTGCAAGATAAGGAGATGCCTTTTTCTTAATATATCTATATATATAAAAATCAATGTTTGTTTGTTTGTATGTCCGGTATACAAATTCGCAGTAGTTCACTAATTCAAACCAAAATTTCCATACATAGGTAAAATAATACGGGGAAGACGATAGGCTATTTTAAAAAATATATAAATCAACTATTAAAACTATATATTCAAATTATTCTACTTAGCTCACGAACAGCGCCCTCTATCAAAGATTAGACTAAATTATGCTGATGCAAACAAATAGATAATGCTAATAACAAACGATTATAAAAAAATCTTATCTAAATATATATCACTCGGGTTGATATGCACACGGGTCAATCCCGGGGCGAAGCCCGGGTCACCCGTCTAGTATACACTAAAAATAAGAAAGGTTTGTTAAAAAACAAAAATAAATTGGTGCAGCATTCCCTTTTTATAAACATTAAATATATATGTCATAATTTGTATATAACTGGATGCAAACCCGACCCAAAATGTATGCAATGTATGTTTTAAAAGATTTACTAAAAACAAGGCTTAAAGAAATCTGGGAGAGAAGGCCTACAAGAGGACAATCATTAGCAGGGTTTATTATCCCGGAACTCATAAAAACTGAGTTCAAGAACCTAGCACTTCCTGGTCAAGTCAGAACAAGTCCAAAGGACAAAGAATTAGCAAAGACCAATCAGAAAGCAGCTCATTAGCGACGAACCTATAGCGAGATTACACGTCACGAACGACCAGCCAATGAGAAGTCAGAAGAGCTTTCGTCTTAAATCGGGAACGAGGTATAGTCAGTTGAGAGCTGGACCGCACCGAGTTAGGAGCTCGACACCATCGCAACCAGTTAGCCATAGGAATCAGCTTGGAGCAAAATCCCACCTCTTCAACCCTCAGATAAGTTAATCCTCAATCATGCAATAGAAGGTCGATAGTCAACTTCGCTCAATTCCTCAACTCCTTCTTCTCCCTAGATTACTCGCCTTTTCCAACCCAATCAACCATGTCTTTTCGTTATTTTCCCCTGTTGTGAACACCTTACCACTCAGCATCAACGACTGCGCCAACACCTCAACAATTATCAATCAACTCAAAATATTTTGCACCCGTGTTCCCACATATATATATATATATATTCATATATATTAAAAACTCGCAACATACCCTGCCTAACCGCACTGTTTGGAAGAACCAGAAGTTCATCATCTCCTCTTCAGTTGTTCAACATTCCACAGAAATAGGATACAAACAGCTATCCTGCTTGGACTGACCCACCTCAATCCTATATCTATGGCCAGCCTTCCAGACTCAACCTCAGCATGGAACTTCCTGGTCAACTGGTTCAACTCAGCAATCAAAACAGGACGCGAGTAGAAGTGCTTTACACTAGTCCATACTAGTGAGCTGGACTCCCCGGGTAGTTGGCGTCTATTGATAGATTCTATGTGTTCCGAGTTATTTTATTGTGGACAACGCTTCATGGAAATATTTTAAAAGACAGTGTATAAGTTGAAGGGTGCAGCGGGTTTAGATCTTTGGTCTGCTAGTTCATTTCCCAGAATACTTCTGTACCTTTTGACACAGCAGAGTTTAACATTGAGGGAATAGTGGGGTGGATTGCATATGGCAGGAAAAGTCAATTGGAAGTCTGAGGCAATTCAGAAGGGTAAACGCGGGAAATTCTGGCTAGCTTTAGTCGCCTAAAGAACCAACGTTTCTTCTTGGAAGGTTGAATATTCGTGATATCTGCCGCTCATTATGCTACAGAAACTGCTGCGCCTAATTTCTTCATTTAAAAGTGAATATGAAAAATCTACCCAATGTCTTGGCCACCACAGTCAGCTAAAAGTTTTATATTCATTACCTTTGCTTTGTAAGCTGTTTTAAGGTTTGATATTTCCATTAATTATATTTGCTACTCCGGGTAGTTGGCGCTCCAGGAACCTGGGTTATAAATATCTCTCTCTTGCTATTCTGGAAACTTCCCTCATTACTTACCTTGTATCTTATAAATGTTGAGTTGGCGCTTTAATTAAATAAATTGCTGTTTCATCCTGAAGTTTGTCTTTCCTAATTTTCTTATTTATATTATTATGGCGAATAATATTGATTTTCAGTTTTTGCAAGTGTTTACGAACCTTTGGGACAACCTTGTATAAGGAATAGATAAATAAACATTCGTTGACTTTTATATATATATGTAGAGAGAGATAACAAGAAAGCGAATGGTGCACGTGAGAGAAATAAATTGCCATTTATTATTCATCAAATCATTGCCCAAAATATCAGGTTTAGAGATATACTAGCCGAATGACCCGGGCAACGCCCGGGTTTTACCCGATTAAACGCTTTTATTTTAATACAATTGGTTACAATTATAAATTGGCGCCGTGGATGTCATTCTTGTGAAACGTCCCGCTAATATAATAAGTCGGTGGATGATAGGGTAACACGCTCGATTCCCGACAGTCATGAACCGGGATTGAATCTCGCGTTAAAAATTGTTTAATATGTGAATAACCTTCACATATTATTCATTGTTCAATTATCATGAACTAGGTTGCTCTTGCTGAGCGGTACCTATTTATGTGATTTTGAACCAACCAACAAACGTCCCGCTCCAAACTTTGTGTCTGAGAAGCGATATTTTTATAAAGAGATGATCTGACTTTGTGTCTTCTGCTCGAATGAATGTTTTTCTGTTAGAATTTTGTTCCTGCATACTAAAAATGAACTGGCTTCACCCGTGGTCTCTGCTTTTTGGAATTTTTCCGGATATAATTTTGTATCTGATAATCAAATATGATGCAGCAATATTGTCATCATCATTTTCTGAATAAAAAACAACTATTTTTTTCCCCACAACCTGTCAATTTATTTTTCTTGACTAAAAATCCGAAAAATATCTCTTCCAGATTTTTCTCTATGTCCTGTTAAAACACGTTTTACATGTACATTAGGTCAGCTGATATTACCTCCCATCTTCACCGCTAGAGGCGCTGCTTGCGAGCGAAAGGGAAAATTTGCAACGCAATTTGCAAATAACTTGTATACATACTTGTGTACATAGACCATAAATCTGTACATAGACAGAAAAAGCACATATATCTCTATATATATAAAAGTCAATGTCTGTCTGTTTCGCGATAAACTCAAAAACTACTGAACCAATTGGTACCAAATTTTGCATGTCGCTTTTTATAAACCTGAGAAAAATTTTCGGCTACATTTTGATTAGTATTTTTGGCTATTTATTTTTTTTTTCATTTGAAGAACTTTTTTTTACGCGGAGTAAATACGAGGCGAAGTAACAACACGAGGCCAATTAAGCGACCAATGAGCGTTCTGCATTTCTTTTCAAGTCGCTTGCGTACTTTTTTTTAAATATCTCTTTATACGAGTGTCACTTTTTTTTACAAAAGTATTGAGAGAGAAATTTATATTACTAAGTTACGGTAAGTGCACACAATGCAATTTAAAAAAAAAAAAACTTTACAAAATTAGCGTTACTGTATGTAAACAATGGCTTTCGTATTTTTTATTAATTTTTGTTCTGGCCTTTGTTTTTTTTTATATAATAATAAATAAAAGTTACAGTCAATATGATATAATTCTTAAAATTAAACAAACAATAGTCAATATGCAAAAAAATACAAACTAACTTATTAAAATATTCTAATATCAAGCACAATATCCAAAATCTCTCCTAATATTTAAATGTACATATTATTAGCATCTTAACGGCGTTTATTCGTTTTTATGTACTCCTGCAGGAAGGCAGAAATACTCGAAAGTTCGATATTGTTTTAATAAAGTGTAAAGAATCTCCAGAACTATTTTTTGCGCGGCAGAAATACGAGGCGAAGTGACAACACCAGGCGAATTAACCGACCAATGAGCGTTCTGCATATTTTCCAAATCGCTTGCCCAACTTTTTTTTTTTTTAATATCTTTTTGGCTGTGATAATGTATTACTTCGGTGTTGCTATTCTATGGCTCTAATACTATTTATTAGCAATGTTCTTTCAGTATGAAGGAAATTGCACTCGGGGGAATTCCCGGGGGAAGCCGGCCGGGAATCGAACCCGAGGCGCCCGCGTGGCAGGCGAGCATTCTTACCACTGAACCACCGACGCTTATAAAAAATGCCCATATTTGGGTATTTATTCCATTCACAAAAGCAAACGGTGACAGAATTGTTGATTATTGTTACTTGATGACTCTGATAGCGGTATATTTTAATATTAACTGCCGATTGTCAAATTTGTTTGGTAATTTATGGCACTATTCTACTGGTGACTTTTGGAGAGTGGTCGCTAAGCCGGTATGGTCGTTAAAGGGATGTTTAAGTGGATGTAATGAACTGTAAACACAATATTTTATATCAGCTATACACTCCTGGACGAATCTTAAGGAAGTTGTACCTTTTACCATGTATATTAGGATTCAAAAAAATTCTTAAAGATATTTGATACACGATGACCTTTATTGAAGACACACGAGATAATCAAGTATGAAAAAAATTGACTCTGGTCTCCTGCAAAAAACAGACTACATCAAAGAGCTTTCACTTAAGTTTTGTCCATGAGTGTATTTTAAATCAAGTACAACACAATGTTGAATTTATTTCTCTTCAATCTAGCTGTATATGTTCCACTCTGCGATAGCTGTAGGCTAGGGGTCGGCAAACCTTTGAGTCGGAAGAGTCAAAAATTATAATTTACAAAATTTCAATTTTTTTTAAAGAGCCACAAATATTTTTCGACAGAGTGGTCGGAGGGGCCAGGAACATAATCCTGTTCACTAGGATGAATGGCCACGTCCTGGTGGGACTGGCCAGCAAGAGCCAAGCGGAACGCTTTATTGAGGAAGACCTCGAAATTGAAGGCATGTTTCTCAAGACCTTCCCCTTCCGTAAAAGGGCGGACAAAATTACCATCGGAAACCTCCCCTTCTACGTGGAGGACGCCGTTGTCATCGATGTCCTTTCGCCCTATGGGCGTTGCACTTCCATCGCCCCCAAACAACTCAAGGCTGGCGAGTACGGCTACACTGACGGCCGCCGAGAGGCTTATACCTCCTCCACGACGGCATGAAAATCGAGAGGCTCCCTACCCGCCTTGATATAAAAACCAAAGGCGATACCTGGCCGGCGTTTCTGACCTTCGGGATCAGGTGTTCCAAATACCACAACCAAGGCCATCGCAGAGCCAACTGCCCCATGCAATGCTAGGCAGTCCACCAGCCCCAGGCGGGCCTCACCACCCTTCCCCACTGATGTCCTATCATCACCCGCGCCTCCTGCACCAGCACCCCCTGCTCCATCTATGGAGGTCTCCAACATTGGTCCCGCGGCCCGGGCTTCGCACCATCGACCAGCTGCGCCTCGGCCCCCTGCTCCATCTGTGGAGGTGCCAAGTAATGGCCCCACGGCCCAAACTTCGCTCCGTCGCTCCACTGCGCCTTAACGTGCTGAACCAGCGCCGCCTACTCCCCATGAGGAGGAGTCAGCTCCAGCCGTAGTAGTCCCTCCGCCTCTAATTCCTGCCCGACGCCCCAGGAGTTGCAGGAAATAGAACGTGAGAATCAGTTAATGGACATAATCGAACAACTGAACGATGAAACTATCCTTAGGCCCCTATATAACCGAGGGACGACCATTAATGATGTCGGGTGGGCGGTCCTGTACCCCCATCTCAGGGAGAGTTTCCTCGCGGATACCTTACCTAAACACAAGATTATTCTTGTCAAGTTCCTCAACACAGTCATCGAGCATGCTGGGGACACGGATTTCATAACTCGCAAGGGCCTGTCTGAACTCAAGACGATTCTAAGGCTCTTCATTGGACACGACAACAATGAACGTGGAAGTAAATTTTCAATTTATATAAATATATTTTATCAATATGCCCTCTATTGGAGTGTAGTCCGACTAGTGAGTTAACTTGTACAAGCCGATACGTTGTTTATACCTTGATAAAGGTTGGTATGCTTCAAAACAAAATATTGGGTAATAAACTCGATTTTTAAATAATACAGTAGAACCTCCAAGAGAGGACACCTGTCCTCTATAAAGGACAGTTTTCACACCAAAATGACCTATTTTTCTATTTAGCAGCTCTCCGGTAAAAGGATACCTCTCCCTAAAAGACACTTTGGCTCTGAAACGTGGTGTCCTATACAGAGAGGTTTTCTACTCTATATGTATTTTATACACAGTGCGTGACATTGAAAATGGAATATCAAGAAAGAGGGAACAGAAAGTGATTAAACTTGACAGAGAGAGGAAGGAAGAAACAATAAGTGATTTTTATTTCAAAATGATAGTCATAATGCAGAGCGAGAACGGCGTCGGATCAGTAACAAGTAAGACCCTCTCGGACGGCATCGCCTAGGTAGAGAGTCAATCAGACTACAGATGGCGTCCTGAGGGATGGCTCTCCATTCCCTTTCAACCATTTGCCACAGTTCGTCTTCTGAACGCGGCTGAGGCAAGGCATGCAAACGGCGTCCAATAATGTCCCAGACGTGCTAGATTGGTGAGAGGTCAGCAGAGTACAGCGGCCAGGGAAGCATATGTACATCTTGCATAGCTTGTTGCCTAATGCGAGCAGTGTGCGGTCGGGCGTTATCCTGCTGATAAAGGGTATTGGGTACCCCTGAAGGTAGGGGAGTGTCACCGGTCGCAGCACATCATTGTTGAGCCGTCATAGTGCCCTGAATACGAACTAAAGGTGATCTGGTATCATACGCGATTGCGCCCCAAACCCTAATTCCGCGTTGTTGCATGTTGGGACGTTCCACAAATGCTGTCGGATTGGAACTTTCTCCACGTCGACGCCACACGCGTACACGGCGACTATCACTGGACCAACAGAAGCGTGACTCATCTGATCATACGACCCTGTGCCATTCCGTCATCCACGTCGATTTAGCTCGGCACCATTCTTAACGTGGCGTATATTCAGTGGGGTCAAGGGCAGTCTTCTCGCCGGGCGACAAGCCATTAGCAACCAATCGACAGGAAATGGTTCTGGTCGAGATGGAATGATCTAGGGTGTCTTGCACATTTTTGCAGAGTAGAGTTACAAGGGGCATGTGGGTCCGCCACTTCTTGTCGAAGAAAACGTCGATCCACGCGTGCTGACGTCACACTGGCTGACTCATTTCCTTTTTCCAACCATCTTCTCCAGAGACGGTGCATCGTGGACGCATCCAGGTGCGTGTCAGCTTCGATTTGACGTATAGACCAACCCGCCCTTTTCAGTCCGATCACCATGCCCCTCGTAAAAGCATCTATCTACTCGAACTGCCTCCGTTGACGACGGTCAGGCACTATCTGCTATTACATGTGTCTTTTGAAACAAGAACAAAATTTCTACGATGGTTTTTCTTTAGGAAATAACGGCACGAATACTGTCCTTTCTGCAAGTTCCTTTCCTTATATCTGATTCCAAGTGCGCACGAGAGCTGCGCATTTTACATTTACATAACTCGGTGAGGAGCGTCTACCCTGAAATTTGCATAATTTTCTGACCACTCTTTCTTGGTGTTCCATTTTCATTGTCGCGTAGTATAAATGAATAAATGCGTGGAATGTTCTATTTTCCAAACAAAAACCCTTTAGTATTCTAAGGAATCTTTTAATGAATCATCTCTATCTGTCTACATTTAAAACTCACCAGAAATTACGAGTACTCGTAACTAATCAAGGCTATCAACAAGGGAAAAAATCATTCGATTTTGCATTATGAAATTGTGCAATTGTAATTCATTTGCAATCATTGATGACTACCACAGGATAAGTCTCTCGATACTTAAACAATGGTTGCCTGTAAAGTCGGTTTTACGGGCGAAGATTTTACGTGACAACGGTAGAATATTTATTGATATGAATATAATTAAATTGCACAATAGGAACAAGGAATTGAATGAAAATAAGAATTGCACAAATTTTAACTATAGAAATATATTTTGTTTACTAAAACATTGTACATGTAAACTTAAACTTAACTAATTCCTATTTGAGTGATTTTGTTGAGGATAGGACGATGATAGGAGAAATATGAAATGAAAGGAAGTGTTTCTGCTGTAATGTGTCTTGCGAAAGTCAAGTCGATAGTTGTTCCTTTTAACGTAGTTGACTTAGAAACGTTTGATACGCAATCAAGATTATACGTATTTTTCATGAATTTAAGAAACGAGTTGTCAGGCTTTACGTTTTTGTTAAAATCACCACACAGAAGAATCGGTATACTAGAATCAACTTGCACGAACGGTGGCACGTACTGGCTGTTGTGAATGTACGGACCGAGTCCTTGCCATAGTAACATTCCAATATCCTGCATACTAGCTCCTGGATGAATATATACAGCACCGAGTATAAACTTGAAGCTAGTATTAGCGGCGAAGCAAGTAACTTCAGTCATGCACATGTCACCCTTGGTTTTAATGACACGAGTTACGTCTGTAATCGCAACTTGGAACACTTCCGCCGTAGATGTCGATGATAATTTACGATAGATCGCCACTCCACCAGCCGCGTTGGTATTTGAAAATCAAAACACTTATTCAGATCGAAGGTTCAAATTTTTGCTAAATAAATTTGAAATTAAATAAAATTTGTAATTGTAAATGATGAAGTTGAAAATTAAAACATTTACTTAAATTAGATGTTAAAATTCTTGCTCAACACAGTTTAAATAAAGTTTTCTTATATCTGCCACTTTTTCTTAATATTTGTAATTTTAAAGAATCAATTCGAAAATCAAAACATTTATTCAGATCGAAGGTTCAAATTTTTGCTAAATATAAATTTGAAACTATTTAAAATTTGTAAAATAATAATTAATTAATTAATTAATTTTAAACTAATAATTTACTTAACACTATCAACATTTATCAATAGTATGACATAACCTATAAACTCAGTTTCTCAACTTTTGTGTCAATCTAACAATTAATCAATCAATCATAGTTTACGATAATGAAATATCAGTGTACAATTATTTACCTTTATTGTTGTAGTTGTTGTAAATGACGAATCTAAGCACTCCACATTTTCACTACAGACACAGCTGACGATACTTTAACCACACGTGTGAACTTGTATTATGACGCTTTCTTGTTTTTCCAA